TATATCACTGTCTTCGATAAAGTTTTGTCTATCCATTTATGGTGTGTTTTTATTTTTATTTTGGGGGTATTTTTGAATTTATTTACTTCAAAAAGTACCATATTTTCTATGTAAATTATGCTTATTTTTATGTTTTATTTTTTAATTTTTTTAACTATATTAAAATATCGTTCCAATAAGTTCTTAGAGCTAAAACCTAAAGATGAAGTGATTTTGCCGTCTTATTTTTGCTTATTTTAGACTGCTCTAAATTACAGTTTTTTCCATTCGTTTCTATGGGTGCCCATTTTTGACCCAAACACAAGATTAAGGAGGTTTTTTTTTCACCCACTTAACATTGTAGAATTGAGTCAAAAAAAGGTGTGTGTTCAGGAGGCAAACTTAGGAAAAGTAGCCAAGTCTTGTATCGCTCAGATCAAGGGAAGTATTTTTAAAAAATAAATCAAAACTATTTTGCCCACATTTGTCCAGAATACGGTTTTAGAGTTAAATATTACCGGTAATTCAAATAAATATATATCTGCCAATATGCTCTCTAAGATATCCAAAAACATTGTCGACCACTAATATGAAGCTTTTTGCGCTTGTTTACAGGAAAGTCAGCCGTTAAATGATTACTTTTTGGGTTATTTGCTATGAAGTCAAATTCCGTAATATATCCGATATTCATAATTTTCCACAATACAAATATGATTTAGCACTCAACTAAATAGATTTCATTTAAAAATGCACATGCTATTAAAAAAAAATCTTAAATTCTCTGTATAGCTATTTCAATACGAAATGTTTAAGTACTATTATTCGTAGCTAAAGGTCAGGCGTAAGAGATGTACATACATTTGTTATAGAGATTCTGTTATACTGTTTATTCCACTATATATCTGCAGTGCAATTGGAAAAACAACACCAAGCTAAAATAAGTCTGGGATGCAATTATTCTAGATGCGTTGTTTGTAGTTGTCAAGCTATCTTAATAATTGCTGCGTTCAACAGCTTTCAATGTGCTCCTGTCTTTAACGTGAGGGTTGCACTGATGTTACACTTATTCATTAATGCATCTTATATTTTTTATTTCAAGTTGTCCCTTTTTGAACTGTTTCTAGAGCCACAAATTCACTTTCTGCATGACAAATGGGGACAGAATGCTTTTGTGATACTGTACCAGTGTCATTACCTCAGTCGACTCTATTTTAGACGACTAAAAGTGCAAGCGCTGTGTTTTTCCGTTCCCTTCATCCAGCCGTTATATACATGTTTAGACTGCTTCTGCCGTTCGAGGGTTGAATCACAGGAATGTGACTTAAAAAGAAAGTGTGTGTGTGTCTATGTGTTCAAGAGGTTGGGCTACATTACATGTAAGTGTTTACAGGTGTTGGCGAATATTCATCAACGCTAGACACGAAGAATAATTTCTGGAAAGATCTGTGTCTGGCTTTCCCTGTAATATATGCTTTCGGCCTCGAGCAGATCACTATGGCTTGTTTATCTTCCATAGATTATGCAAGAGCAGAAATCTAGATGACAGGATTGTTGTACCTCATTGGGGTTTTATTGGTGTTAATGGTGACATTTGGCCATGTTTGCACAGTTTGAGGTCATATACAGTGGAAACTGGCGAACGGGAAGATGCCTCTCCTACTGTAAGTCGATAGCTCGGGTGAGGCTTGTGTACTGAACTGGCAGATGTGTTGACTCTGACATACTGAGAATACTTGATGGGCATTTCTCTGAAGAGCAGCTGCTTTTGTCCAAAGGTAGTGGTGACCTTGCTTCAGCCACATTGAAATGTGAACACCGGCCATTTTGTAATCGGTGACAGGCTGCCAAGTCATAGCCTTAAAGAAACACACACACACACACATGCTAGACTGCCACCAGCAGCTGGGAATTCACCCAATGTTTCACTTGACCTTCAGGCTACCAAGGATGGCATAGACGGGAATGCACTTAATGCATATTAACTTGTGCAGGGTTTGTACAGGGCGCTTAAAGATGGAGCCGCGTTAACAGAGCCGTACATCAATGACAAGCTATCGCTTAAATAATCGCGATAAGCCAAATCGGTTTGCGTGCATAATTACTAGGGCTGGGTAATGAATATCGATTTCTCGATATGAATTGATTCTCATTTTTATGAACCGATATCGATTCTTAAATCTCAAGAATCGATTAGTCATCCTGTTTCATTTGAATGAATGGATCATTGTATCGCGGCTGCGCGCATCCAAATAATCGCAATAATCTTTGTCCTTTGTTACTAAAGTCTCAATTTTCAAATTACGTCCATTTTCTTTAGAAATTCAAAAACATAAATAACGTTTTGGCGCTCTGACCAGTCACAGCGCCAAATAAACATGAATGAGCATCTGAAAGTGTGTTAAAGATAGAGTACAACTTATCCAAATCTGTATCATGTCACATTGATTCGCTCAATCAGCGTTTCAACCGTGGAAAGACGTCAGTTAAACAGCTTGTAATCAATGTCATCGTCGTATTTACCTCAGAAAACCCACATAAACTCGTTAGTCAGCTAGAAAAAATAACTCTAGAGTTACACTCTCGAATCGAATTGTGAACTTTGTGTCAATACCCAGCCCTAATAATTACCTATAAATTGCGATTAATTTTGCAGCCCTATTATTAAGGTCGCAAAACCAAGTTATTGAGGCTGGTTTAAGAGCAACAGGTCTGGGACAAATTGTTCTGGGTAATTTCGGTGGAGACGCGACTTATGAGGCTAGTTTAATAGTTAACATGCCCCTGTTTCTCCTCAACAGGAAAGCAAGGTATGAGGATATCGATATCTTTGTCATAGTATTCTTTCAATGGTTAATGTTGCCACATTTTATGTACTGCTTTTAATGTTGAATAGATATTTCTAAAATTGTATGATGTTTTTGTTGAGTTGTTATTACACAATTCTTTTTCTGACCTTTTTCAACCTTGCCCCTGACAAATAACCCAAACTACAAAAAAGACTAAAACTAACACTAAAACTAATAAAAACTAAACTTTAAACTAAGCATTTTCAAAAAATGGAAACTAAACTAAACTAGTAAACCCACTTTTAAAACGAATTAACTAAATTTGAAAACAAAAATTCAAAACAAAATAAAAATAATAACTAATAAAAAATGCAAAGCTATAATAACCTTGGTGGAAATCCAAACAAAGGCGAGCCGAGGCGAGTCGAGTCGGTACTGTGTAGTGGAAATGCGCTATTTGATTGTAGTCCTTGAAAAACTAAAAAAAAGTAGTGCTTAAAGTCCTTGAAAGTCCTGGAATTTAATTGTAAGCACACTCAGGGCTCCCATGGGTCCTTGAAATCCTTGAAAGTTTGTGAATCTGAAAAAAAAAAATAATAATTCAAGGCCCTTTAAAGTTTTTGAAAGTAAACACGCATAGAAGCAGGTCCTCGAAAGTGCTTGAATTTATTTTGTGCATGAAGTTTTATGAAAAAAAAAAAAATATATTTATTCCCTCCAGTCCGCTAGTGTGTTATTTCGCCAACACTGCGTGGTCTATGCACACTAGCTTGCTTGATTTACGTTAGTTACGCGCATTTCCGAGTTAAGTGAGGTATTTTGTGTTGTACTTTGCCATGACATTCACGCGCGCGCAAAAATACTACAATGGTATCTCAACGCTTGTTGTTCGACTCAACCAATGTGTTCCCACATTAAAGGAGAACTGCAGCGCGAAATGAACCTTTGGTCTAATAACACATCGGTACCTAGTCCAGCGTTCTCTGAGATTTGTTTTCATGATAATCGAATGTAAAGAGTTTTATCTCTAAAAACTGTTTAGCGTATAACGCTAGTATATAATACTGGGGGTATTTACTAAGTAAAAAGAAATCGCTAGTTCAAACAAGGCTCAAAATAGCCCCACACTAACTTCTGAACTTCATGAACGGCATTCGTGGTTCGACTGGTCCAGACTGTTTTCCAAAAATGGCTCCGGCCTGTATACTATACTATCTATACTATCTTCTTATTAAACTGTCTGTACACTTATGCTTCGTTTTGCATGTAGACGCCCTCATTATGTTACTGTGGGGCTATTTTGAGCCTTGTTAGTGGTATTAACTAGCGGTTTCTTTTTCATTACTCTATGCCCCATATACTAGCGTTATACTCTAAACAGTTTTTAGAGATAAAACTCTTTACATTCGATTATCATGACTGACTCGGTACAAATGTGTTAATACACCATCGGTTTATTTTGTGCCGGAGTTGTCCTTGAGGTTTGGGAACTAGGGATGGGCAACGATTAATCGCGATCCAAAATAAAAGTTTTTGTTTACATAATATATGTGTGTGTAGTGTGTATAATTAATTTGTATATATAAATACCCACACATGCATGTATATATTTAAGAAAAATGTGTTATTAATATATCAAATATTTATATTTATATATAATATTAATTGTCAATAAATATATATAAAATATATACATGCACATTTTTATTAAATATATACATGCATGTGTGGGTATTTATATATAAAAATTAATTATACACACACTACACAAACATATATTATGTAAACACAAACTTTTATTTTGGATGCGATTAATCGTTGCCCATACCTATTGGGAACCGATCAACTGGTGTTGTGTTAAGTTGGGCTATAGAAATAAAATGTACATATTTTTTTTGATAAGTGAGATCTCTGATTGTAGTCCAAAAAAATTAGTGCTTATTATTTCATTTTGCAGGATATGTACGCTGTAAAAAATATTGTTGGTTTAACTTAAAAAAATTAAGTGACCTGGTTGCCTCAAAAAATTTAAGTTGATTGAACTGAAAAAAGTGGGTTAATACAATGAAGGAGATTGATTTAATCATCAGAAACTCAAAATAATAAGTTATCTGAACTAAATAAATTATTTAAGTTGATCTGACAAAAGAAAAAATGTTGTGATAACAAATCTTCGCTTAGATGGACTATGAGGCTGGTTTTGAGACTCAACATGCCCCGTTTTGTCCTCCACAGAAAAGCAAGGTCCAGAGCGGAAGCGCATTAAAAAGGAGCCCACTAACACCAGGAAGTCGGGCCTGGCGTTCGGGATGGGCATGCCGGGGATCCGGGCCGGGTACCCCCTGTCCGAGCGGCAGCAGGTGGCTCTCCTCATGCAGATGACGGCCGAGGAGTCCGTCAACAGTCCAGGTGCGTGTTTATCATGAGCACCACGTCTTCAGTCGCCTCCACTGTCCCTGCTGCACTCTCACGCTATGCTTCACACACACACCACAGCACTTAATTAGAATTCAATTAAACAAGATAACCCTCATCAATTTCCATTACTTCGCCGAAATGAGCCTCTGCAATCTTAATCCACTGTTGTTCATCAGCCCTTCAGGACTGTTGACAGGGCACCAAAGGACTCGCTCGGGCTGTTCCGATATGAGCTGATTTGATTGGCTCATGTGGTATTGCAGCTTGATATTTAGTGAAACGCATTGGATTTGTGTTGCATTCACTTCAAAGTTTGTTTTTCGAGGCTTGACCAATAGTATTGCATGCTTAAAGGTTACATCTTATCTCTGGCATGCATGTCTCAATTAGTAAACACGAACTATGAATGAACAATACTTCTACAGCATTAAATATTTTTGTTAATATTAATTTTAACATTTACTAATGCATAAATCAAAGGTTGGATTAGATGCACTGTTGCACTTGATTTTTATTAACCCTAACCGTACAGTAACAAATGTTTTGCTCATTGTTAGTTAATATTTTAACTAATAAACCTTTTTGTAACCATGTTTCTATTAGATTTACTGAAAATTTAGCTCCTCTTCAAGTAGTTCACCACATTTATTTTTCCAAAACAAAAGACCACAGGAAATTCCTAACCCCACCCATACTGAGCACTTTTGCATGCCAGCTATTGTGTTTGTTTGTTCTGAATATGTCTGAAAATAGTGATTTAGTAGAGCTGATTTGGTGTGTCTGTCATGTGACTGCTAATAAATGTCCTTGTTCACGTGGTCGTTTGTTGATTCAGTGTGCTTTAATCTTGTTGCTGACAATGTCGTCCAAATCCAAGGGGTGAAATCCAGTTAAAATTGTGTAATTTAGTGAAAGATGTGACAGCTAGAAGGCGCAGATTGGCACAGGCTGATGTTGTCCTCGTGTTTGTTGTATAAGACTGCCACCTAGAGGTCATAGCAAATACTCATTACTACAATAATACACAAGCTGCTCATATCAGTGTTTAATTAGTGCTCGACCTTGTTGACTCCAAGGCATTCATTGTCCACACACAAGTTCATATATTTCCTCTTCAGCTGTAATGATGATAAAGCTGATTTTATTTACAGATACTTTGACTATGAGTAGATTTAAACCAAACAAAATTAATTTAGTGATTCCTGATTTTTTTTTTTTTTTCAGGATCCATACTGTTTTTGACCACCAAGGTTAAGGATGAATAAGGATTTTTAAAATACTTTTTGTTCAATCATAGATTATGTGACTGTTTTTTTTATTTTATTTATTTGTTAGTGATTCCTGATTTCTTTTTTCAGGATCCATACTGTTTTTGACCACCGAATTGACAAGTTTTTCATGATTAAGGATGAATAAGGATTTTAAAAATATTTTTATATTATATTTTATATTATATTTATCATAGATTATGTGACTGTTTTATTTTATTTATTTGTTAGTGATTCCTGATTTCTTTTTTCAGGATCCATACTGTTTTTGACCACCGAATTGACAAGTTTTTCACGATTAAGAATGAATAAGGATTTTTAAAATATTTTTTTGTTGGCAATAAACACAAATATATTTATCATAGATTATGTGACTGTTTTATTTTATTTATTTTTTAGTGATTCCTGATTTTTTTTTTTTCAGGATCCATACTGTTTTTGACCACCGAATTGACAAGTTTTTCATGATTAAGGATGAATAAGGATTTTTAAAATATTTTTTTTTTTTGGCAATAAACACAAATATATTTATCATAGATTATGTGACTGTTTTATTTTATTTATTTTTTAGTGATTCCAGATTTTTTTTTTTAAGGATCCATACTGTTTTTTACCACCGAGTTGACGTGATTAAGGATGAATAAGGATTTTTAAAATACTTTTTGTTGGCAATAAACACAAATATATTTATCATAGATTATGTGACTGTTTTATTTCATTTATTTTTTAGTGATTCCTGATTTCTTTTTTCAGGATCCATGCTGTTTTTGACCACCGAGTTGACGAGTTTTTCACGATTAAGGATGAATAAGGATTTTTAAAATACTTTTTGTTGGCAATAAACACAAATATATTTATTATAGATTATGTGACTGTTTTATTTCATTTATTTTTTAGTGATTCCTGTTATCTTTTTTCAGGATCCATACTGTAAGTTTTTCATGATTAAGGATTTTTTAAATATTTTTTTGTTGGCAATAAACACAAATATATTTATTATAGATTATCTGACTGTTTTATTTTATTTATTTTAGCATTATTTTAATTCTAAAAACAACAGTAGTAGACTTTCCTTCACTTTAGGGAGACAATTATTGTTATTAAACTAAAATACGAATGATAAAAGAGTCCTAGCTTCCTCTTTTCCTGTCCTATCCGATGTTTTAAACTATTTTCGTGTTATTTAAAATGATTTTTAATCATCTTGTTGGCCCCCTGTGCACTTCTGTAAGTAATCTTGCTCTTAATACCTATGTTTTTATGCAGACACAACACCAAAGCATCAGTCACAGTCAAGTCTGGGTCAGAAGGGAACACCAAACTCGGCCTCAAAAACCAAAGACAAAGTTAACAAGCGAAACGAGAGGGGTGAGACGCGGTTGCACCGGGCAGCCATACGTGGGGAGGCTCGCCGTGTCAAGGAGCTCATCAACGAGGGGGCCGACGTGAATGTAAAAGACTTTGCAGGTAAGGGCAAACACCCCCGTTCGTATCCGGCAAGCTTCAACAATAGAGATTTTTAAGTCTCAGTTGAAAACGTTGAAAAATTACGTTTATTGAAGTAATATCTTATTTTTATTATGTTTTTTTTTTTCTCTCTCTATACTGATCTCACTATACACTTGTGTGAGGGTGTGTCTAAGAGTGTGTAGTCATGTTATTATCTATGTATGTTTTAATTATAACTGTATAAATATAAATATAATTTAAAATATAAATAAATAAAAATAAAAATATAATTAAATATAAATAAGTTGAAGACATTAGAGATCACCTGCCTTCCACTTTAATCCTTTAACATGCTGTTTAAATTGAATAGAATATTAGGTGATATTGTTGAAATGCTCATGCACTTTATAATAACGAAATGTAATGCTTTTTGTTGTTTCAGGCTGGACCGCACTGCATGAGGCGTGTAATCGAGGGTATTATGATGTGGCCAAGCAGCTGCTGGCAGCCGGGGCCGAGGTTAACACCAAGGGCCTGGATGACGACACGCCCCTACATGATGCATCCAACAATGGCCATCTTAAAGTAAGTGCCTCCGAACAGACGTTCCACAAGTGTGTGTGTGTTAGGGCTGTCAAATTTTAATTTTGAAAATTCGAAGAGAATGTTCGCTTATCCAGTATACAGCGCTGCGTTGTGCCTCTACTGATAAACTCTCTCAGTTGGTAGAAAAAAATCGTGACTAAACCTGCACATCGGTCAGTAGTGGTGTAACGGTTCACAAAATTCACGGTTCGGCTCGATACGATACACTTGTGTCACAGTTCGGTTCGGTACGTTTCAAATACAGCTAAAAGAAAGAAATTTCCTTGATTAAATTTTTTTTAATTATATTTTTATTAAAACTAACATCATAAAGTATGATATTTTTTAACTTTGAGCAATGATGGAACTATACTTGACTTTTCTTAGGAGCTTATTAAACAAAACAGCTCCTTGGACTGGAAAATGAAATGTAATATTGTAGTAGTTAAGGTTTATTTTATTTTAGATTTAACATTTGAGGGCAGCAATTGTATTGATAATGTCAAAATAAAACCGACGTGATGTACAGTAAATCCATGGTGATGTTGCTGATCTGTGGACACTGGATAGTTCATTCATGGCACAAAGTTTCTTCCTGGCTGTTTGATCCGTTAATAATGGAGAAATGTGAATGTTTCTCACTAGATCTCGCAGCGAAGTTATTACTTCAGTGGCGAATTCAAATGTTTTCCTTACTGGATTTGGCTAACAGTGCTGATCAAGATCAGAACTGATAAACGGTCCGTCATCCAAACAACCACACAATAACGATTGGCTCAGTTTTGTTCCGCTTACATTACATTTGCCATTTGATGTTGGGAAATGTCGTGGTCACGCCAACGTCTTTTACATTATGACGCGCCTACATTTGAATAAATGTATGTAATACATGTATCATTACATCCCTATCAGTCAGATCTGAGCGTGTTTTCTTAAGCTGGAAACTTTGTACACATAAAGTGCCCGACACTCGCTGCAGATTTTTTTTCGACAAACAATATATAGATGTAGTGAGTTGTGAAGTGGATTTTTTTTCTGAATCAGATTTAGCTATTTTGTGTTTTTGTAATAACGTTACATTACTCTGTGTGTTGACACGTGTTTTCTCAGGTTCACTTACGGTTTTATGCACTATTGTAACCTAATTTTCCTTGCATGAACATTAAGGAAATTATATATTTAAGAACGATTGTATGTAATTTACAGGTGGAAACTAGCTTAAGCTAAATCTCGTTCAAAGCATCTTTGATTAATGTTTTTGCACATTGTCCCTGTTGAAATAAATAAATGAGCAAAACAAAACAATTTAATTTCAATAAAAGATGCGATGCTTGATCTGGTTTACATTTGCATCAGTACTTTTTCCTCTAACATAGTATTGCCTTTAGAATTCAAGGATAAATCGAATTTTTCTAATATTTTATTTCTTAATATTTTTGTTATCTTAATATACTTAACAAACTGTAACAAACCCCCTATTCTGGTTTTGTAGGTTGTGAAGCTGCTGTTACGGTATGGAGGGGATCCTTGTCAAAGCAACAGAAGAGGAGAGACTCCATTAAAAGTGGCAAATTCGCAAACAATGCTTAACCTGTTGCTGGGAAAAGGCACTTACACCTCCAGTGAGGAGAGTTCCTCAGGTGCGTACCATGCAGTTTTTTTGTGCCAGAAAGTGCAGGAAATGTGTACCATATGCTAATATTAAGATTTTTTTTTTTGTGTGCATCCCTGCAGATTCTTCTGAAGAGGAAGATGCCCCATCATTTGCCCCATCCAGCTCTGTTGATGGCAATAATACAGACTCAGAGTTTGAGAAGGGCTTAAAATTAAAAGGGAAGGGCATGGACCCACCCAAATCTATCTCTACTCCGGTCAAGGATGAATACGAGTTTGACGAGGATGACGAGGAGGAGCGTGTCCCACCTGTGGACGACAAGCATCTGCTCAAGAAAGAGTTTCGCAAGGATCCCGTCATCATCAAGGCAAACAACTTTATCTCCATACCCAAGATGGAGGTCAAAACCTATTCCAAAAGCAACACGCTAACACCAAAGAAGGCTGTGCGCAGGATCCTGTCGGACAGCAACAGCTCGGATGAAGACGACAGTACGTTGTGTTTTACACCCACGACCACACCAAGGCAACCTGCACCTCAGACCAACGCGAAAAGCCGGGAATCCACGTCGCTGAGCTCCAAGCAGCAAAAAGAGAAAAGTAAAGTCAAGAAGAAGAGGAAGAAGGAGACAAAAAATAATGTTAGCAAGGAGGTGCGCTTTGATAAAGTGAACGACAAGTTCTGCACCTCAGACTCGGAGATTGGGGACTTGGAGAGCGAGGACGACAAAGGATCCATGCAGAGTGCAAATTGTGTAAAGGACTCTTCTACGTTGAGCCTTAAAGATCCTTCTGTCTTTAGCTCTCTGTCAGTTTCTTCTTCATCCTCATCGCATGGGAGTCTGAGCTCACAGAAACACACACAGTCTCTGGCAGAGCAGCACCCAAAGCAGTGGAGGACGGACGGCTGGAAGACCGTGTCCTCTCCGGCGTGGTCGGATGTCAGCTCCCTCTCGGACTCGGTCAGAACGAGGCTCTCCAGCGAATCGGACTACTTGTCTGCCGACTCCAGCGTTGAGTCTGTGAAACAGGTGAAGAAGAAAGTGCAAGATAACAGAAAGAAAAACAACACGCATGCCAGTGCGGTGGACAAAAAGAACTCTGAGTTTTACAAGAACTCGAACACGGATGGAGCCATTTCTAAAACAGACAAAGATGGAAAGGTGTTGAAGAAACACAAAGTGAAACACAAACACAAAAGTAAGGAAAAGGATAAGGCTCCGAGTGTGGTGTTGAGTCAAGACATGAATGAGAAGTTTGTCAAGAGCTTTTCTTTTGACTTTGATGATACACGGCAGAAATCGCTAATTGTCGACACGATGTCGCCTTCTGAAAATAGGGTCAAGCTTTCAAAACATGAGAAAGATCATTTTAAGAAGGAAGACCGATTGTCTAAAGGTAAATCCGAAGACAAGGACTGGCCGGGTAAAGAAACTCAAAGGGTGGTCAAAGAAGAGAGGTCCAAGAAGACAAAGGAGTCAAACAAGGAAAAGGTGAGCAAAGAGGACAAACCTTTGAAGCCTGAGAAAGAGAGACTTACAAAAGACAAGGCAAAGGAGGAGAAGCAGAAAGCCCATAAAGATGATAAAAAGAAAAAGTCTAAGGACAAATCTCTTAAAGTCGACAAAAAGAACGAACAAAAAGAGGAAAAACATTTTAAATCTGAAAAAAGTGTAAAAGAAGAGAAGGAAAAGTCTAAGAGGGATAAAAATATCAAGGAGGAACCTGATTATGAAGACTATGACTTAAAAAATCACTTGCTAGAGGAAACATCGGATGATCCCCATGATCGGTGGCAGTCGGACATGTCTTCTGATAGTTCGCTTTATGGGGATGATAGCTGGGATGCCCCTGTGAAAGAATACAAATCAAATAACGCGGTCAAGTTGATCGTAGAAACAGTGAAGGAGGAAAACAGGGACCGGAGAAAGGAAAATAAAGTCAAAGATAAAAAGCCAGATCATGGGGATAAGCGTCCTGAAAAGGAAACTGCGTCTAAGAAGAAAGACAAGGAGTCCTCTGAGAAGAATAGTGAAAAGAAAAAGGACTGGACAGACAAACAAAAGTTCAATTCGGGTCAGTCATTGGAAAAGGAGAAGAAGCGAAAAGAATCGGCTGAGGGCGTCAAAGAGAAGAAGGAGAAGGACTACGTGGAGGGCAGCAGAGACCGAAAAGATTCCTATGAGTTTACCAAGGAAAGGAAAGACTCCAAGACCAAACAAGAATCTCTGAGAGATGACTATGGGAGTGAGGCCTTCTTTAAAGACAAACCAGAGAATGAAACCACTTGTAAGTCTGACCCAAGAGAGAGGAACCACTCTGGGAAGAAAATTGATGGTGTGGAAAAGAAAGAGAAGTCCAAAGGAGAAAAACACAAGGACAAGCCTAAGGACAGAAACTTGGACCTGGAAAAGGAGAAACCTGAGAAGAGCTCAATTGACAGATCAATGAAAGAGAAAGATCTAGAACGGGCCTCCAAAGACAAGCGGGATGGGGCTAAAGAAAAGCATAAAGATTCTCATGTCAAGGACAAAGAAAGGAAGATGTCATCTGAGCAGATTAAAGATAAGAAAGAAAAGACATCCCAGGACAAACATGCTGACAGAGAAAAAGACTTCCTAGAGTTCAAGAAAGAGGAGAGAAAACCTGAAAAGCCGAGAGAGAAGACGTGGTACACGATCGCAGATATCTTTACGGATGAGAGTGAAGATGATGACGACAACTACAATGGGGGTGTTGCGAAATTAAGCGACTCTCTCGGACTATCGGATTCTCACAGGAAAGATTCCACACCAGACATTGACGAAATGGATAATTTCCAAACAGATAAACATCTGAAGAAGACACATTCCACAGAAAAACAAAAGGAACATAAAGATAAGAAAAAGGAGAAGGCATCATTCGATGCTGGAAAAGAGAGAAAAGCCTCCATGGATAAACACAAAGATAAAAAGGACAAAGATTCAATTGAGACAAAACACAAGGAGCGCAAGGACCGAGCATCTGTGGATTCAAATCAAGACAAGAAAAGCAAGCAGAAACTTGTTGACAAGAAAGATGCCAGTGAGGAAAAGGGCAAAAACAAATACAAAGACAAGGTAGAGCACTTAAAGGAAAGAAAACTCTCAAAGGGCGGTGGTGAGAATGAGAAATCGTTGTTGGAGAAACTTGAGGAAGAGGCCATGAATGATTACAAAGATGATTCCAATGATAGAAATAGTGAAATTTCATCAGACAGTTTCACAGACAGAGGTCATGAACCCGTTCTGAGCAGCTTCTATGATTCCTCCAACATCAGTATACCCGACATCTCCGAGGAGAGAAGAGAGTCTCTATCCATCTCTAATCCGCAGGATAAGTTCAGAGAGAAAGAGAGGCATAGACATTCCTCATCCTCATCATCCAAAAAGAGTCACGACAAAGAAAAGGAGAAAGTCAAGAAAGAAAAGGGGGATAAAAAAGACAAGTCAGAGGAGATCAGAGAATCATATGGCCGCAGAGAGAGCTTGCCCTTTGACAAAGAGCCCATGCCTTTGGAGGCTGACCCTTACACTTTTCCATATGGCTCCAAGGTCGATGGCGAGGATGACTTGGAAAAGACTCTGGAGTTCGAGAAGGAGATGTCCAAAAAAGACAAGACAAATAGTGTCATTAACAGCGAGAAAGTAAAAGACAAAAAGAAGAAAGAGAAGCACAAGGAAAAAGTGAAAGAGGAAAAGCATAAATACTCGGATGGATTTGGCTCCTTCAGACACTCAAAAGAAGAACAAAAGTCCGGAATGAAGGAAAACGCTCAAGTCACGAGTATTAAAGAGAAATCTAAAGAAGACGCTTCTAAATTTGATGGGAAGAATAAGGAGAGAAATAAAGATATCATGGACAAAGATCTCAAAGCCAAGGTCAAAGATGAGAATGACAAATTCAGCCAGTCAAAAGAGACGACTCGAAAGGACAATCGCCCTCGGGAAAAACTTTTGGTCGATGGTGATCTCAGACTAACAAGTTTTGGCAAAATGCTTAGTCTAAAAGATCAAGAGATTGAAGAGCGCCACAAGAAACACAAAGAAAGAATGAAACAGATGGAAAAACTGAGGCATCGGTCAGGTGACCCAAAGCTTAAAGATAAATCTAAATCGAATGAAGAACTTAAGAAGAACCGCAGTGAACTTTCCAAAAAATCAGTGGAGAGTGCTTTGAAAGAAAAAAAGTTCAAAGACACTGGCCTTCCAACCCAAATGATGTCCCCCGATAGAAAGCCGATATCTATTGACAGTCAGAACTCAAAAGACTGGCTGGCTGGCCATCAAATAAAGGAAAATCTTCCTGCATCCCCTAGACCTGACCAGAACAGACCAACGGGTGTCCCCACCCCGACATCTGTGATCTCATGTCCAAGCTATGAGGAAGTCATGCAAACTCCTCGCACTCCCTCCTGCAGTGCAGAGGACTATCCTGACATCATATTTGATGGTCTTGACTGTCAGAACTCCTCGGCCACCACTATGTCCATGAACGCCTGCTCCCCTTCCTTCTTCGACAGATATTCCAACTCATCGAATAACTTCCAGGAGGGAACATGCATAACACCAGCAAAGAACTTGCAATTACCCCTCGTGAGTCGTTCCGTCACCCCTGATGTCAGAAGACCACTTGAGAACGAGTTCAAAGTAGAGGCAGAAAAGTTTTTGCGACAGCAACATATACCGGAAGGCACAGCATTCGAGTCTTCGGCCTCGCATATTACCGAGGACAAGATAGCAGCTGACAGACTTAATTGCCTTTCCCCAACATACTTTTCACCCCCTATTGAGATGATGTCTCCCAGGCCTGACCTATCACAACATGACAGAGTTCCCGATGAAGCGCCTTCTGTAAATTCCCTCAACGATGGCATTGAACACTCGGGGAGTGTTTATAACAGCTATCTCATGAAGCCCTCAACTCCAGTCCATAGACCTGAACCCCAGGAGCCTTGTTTGGATATAGCGGCTCCCCCAACTCCAGCTCCTGCTGCCCTTCCTCCCATGGACATTGATGATCTCTCAGAGCCACAGCAAAGTGGACCGGTTCTAATGCCAGCTCACCCTGTCAGTGTGAGTGACTACTTGCCTCCTGTTGTTGAAGAGCAAGAAGAAGAGGAAGATGAGGAGGATGACGAAGATGATGATTTTGTTGAGGATGGCACAGAAGCTCACCACGCTGAAGACGAGTCCAGGACCGATCCCACGTACTCACTCGGGATTGAGGAATCTGACAAAAAGGCGTGGCTTGAATGTCCAGATAGAAGAGATCCTGACGAAATTCCCATAACACCAACCCATCCACAAGACAACTACATGGAAAACTCGTGTGATCAGTCCTTAGCCTGGAATTCAGAAGTGCTCATGAAATCACCCAATGAGAGTTACAGAGAGGTCGAGGCTGCCGTGTCAAAGATAAGCAGTCCATATTCACACTCCGATTGTGATTTGCAGCATATCCCAAGTGTTATGCCCGTGACGCCACCTCACTCTACTTATTCCAGAGTATACTGTCCATCACAGATATCTGACTCTCATTACGAGGTCCACAAAGACACAGTGGAAGACATCACATCTCCGGAAAGACCTGAAACGGAGGCACTGGAGTCAGAATCACCTCGACTAGAAGCTTTCTTCACCGATTGCAAACCAGATCCTGAAGAAGTGCAGATGGGCCTAGAGCCCCCATGTATGATGAAAGACGATATACAAGAGTCTCCCACCTATGTTGCAGAGAACTGCATCTCTGTAGCCCCACCAGTCAACCAAGAACCTGTTGTTTCATGGGTAGATCCATTCCCTAGTGCAGCTGATGAAATGGACGACATGGGACCTTTCTCTATACCAGAGCTTCCTTTCCAGGAGAAGGAGATGCCAGAGCCTGATATAACAACCCCAGAGATTGCGGAGAGTAAGCTCCCACCTCCTCAGACAAGACCTCCCGTTATTGAGACAAACGAAGATCTTGAAATTATGGATGTTGACTTGACAAGTTTGTCCAAAGCATCTTGTTCTCCTGCAATCGTGCCTCCTACAGAATCTGGTCAGGAATTGGTTCCTCCAATAAGTGAGGATGGATATAGACCGCAGTGTGAGTTGGAGCCTGAGCCTCAGAACATCCCAGAGGTTCCTCCCATGAAAGAAACAATCCCAGAGGAGAGGGAAGCTTTTGAAGAACGGAATGAAAATGTCAATTTGTTTTCTACTGAGAGTGAAAAGGACAATGAATACAGGCAAAAAGAAACAATCCCGGATACAATGATGCCGTCTGTTATGGTACAATACTTGGAGCTACCAGCCACCACAAAATCACATATATTAGGACAAAATCCTGTGGTAGTTCTGGGTCCCTCGTGTAGCCCTCATCCTGTTCAGGTTCAATCTGTCTCAATGCCTAGTAGCACACCAGTATCAGAGGCCCTTGAGACAACCGCCAAGTTGTCCGTGACCATACCAGTGTCCGAGGCGCCCAAGAAAATTGAGGAAATACCTCAGAGGATGACCCGGAAAAAGGCTCAGATGCTGGCCAATCAGAACAAGCAGAGCTCTTCGGGATCCTCCTTACCAATCACAACAAGTGTGACCACTTCTTGTGTCACAGTAGAAAAGGAGAAAGAGCTCATCACCTCAACCACAGCTCAGACATCCACTCCTGTACCTGCACTAATCACCAAATCAAAAGGCAGACCTGTCGAGGACGACGACAACCAGTCCCAACATCCACGCAAGAGAAAGTTTCCCAAATCTGGCCAGCAACAGGTGCAGGTTCAGCTTGTGAACACCGCAATGAAGCAGACTCGGGAGATGATCCAACAGACTCTGGCAGTCATCGTGAATGCCATCAAGTTGGACGAGATAGAGCCATACCACAGTGACCGTTCCAACCCCTATTTTGACTACCTTCAGATCCGCAAGAAAATTGAGGAAAAGAGGAAGATTTTGTGTTACATAACACCTCAAGCTCCCCAGTGTTACGCAGAGTATGTGACGTACACAGGCTCTTATCTACTTGATGGCAAGCCTCTGAGCAAGCTTCATATTCCTGTGGTAAGAATTTTGTTTTTGTGTCCTATGCATAAATACTTTTAAAGGAGTAGTTCACTTTTCAAACTTTTCTTTCTTCAGTCGAAAAGAAATTAAGGTTTTTGATGAAAACATTCCAGGATATTCTCCATATAATGGACTTTAATGGGAACCAAACGGTTCAAGGTCCAAATGACAGTTTCAGTGCAAACTGTTCATAGGGCTTTAAACGATTCCAGACGATGAAAGCGAAACGATCGCTCATTTGATAAATAAATAACAAAGTTTAAGTTTTATAAGCTCAAATGCTCGCCTTGCTCTGTTCTGTGATGCGCGTTCGTGACTCTCCTGTTCATCAAAATGAACGAATCTTTTCCCGAGTCAACTCGTTCATTTCGTTCGTTGAATGAACCGAAATGAACCGAATGTGACACACGTTCGTGACTCTCCTGTTCGAACTCGTTCATCAATATGAACAAATCTTTTTCCGAGTCATTTGGTTCATTCAACGAACGAAACGAACTAATTGACTCGTAAAAAGATTCGTTCATTTTCAACACCCAACCAATAAGCAGCATAATTATACTGAAAAGACGTTGAAGATGTTGATAGGATGGTATTATATATATTATTAATATTATCAACGGATCGCAGGCCCCACGATTCGGCACGCATGTGATTCGCGGATTAACTGCTAAATTTAACCATCGTAGAGTTAAAGTTTATCATTTGGACGGGCCTTTTTTCTTGCCAATAGAGACAATTTGTCTTTGCCTCTCGCAGAGAGAAAGGCGCATTTCAGATAGTGTTAAACACAAAATTATGGCTAAATACGGCCGGGTTTTTTCTCGATTATGTCATATAAAAAATTTTTCGTTGGTGCATTCAGCCTTAAAGTAACAGTAGACTAATATTCATACTGTTGTCTGTGTCATTAATGTTAATAAAATGACAAAATACAGCTTTAACAAAGCAAAAACTATATTTAATTTCTATAGTGAACAGTGTTATTTTACATTTAGGTTTAATTATCAATTTCTTTACCTGTTAGACTTTGTAACTTTGTTCGGCTAGTAGGTTTTGATGTAGTATCGAAGAATTTCAGGTGTGCTTTAAGTAATAAATGAAACGTGAAGTCACACATAGTCACCCTCACATCGTTTTTTTTTGGGTTTTTTTTTTTATCCGATCCATTAAAAATCCATAAATGATCCGAACTGTGAATTTTGTGATCCTTGCACCACTATTTAATATATTATATGGAGCAAGATTTTGGACATTATGCGTTGGTTAAAACACAGAATATCTCCATTAATGCATTTCCATTGTTGAGATATAGAGATGTCCTTCTAAACTATTGTCCCCACTATCCTAGATTGCTCCACCTCCATCTTTGTCGGAGCCCCTGAAGGAGTTATTCAGACAGCAAGAGGCCGTTCGAGGAAAACTAAGACTTCAGCACAGCATCGAGAGGGTAAACTCGCACGCCTTGCCTTTAGTCTTTCTTTATTTTCTCTTCCTGGTTTCTCCCCTCACTTAAAAAAAAAATCTGCAATGTACATTTAAACTAAGCAAGCGTTTCATCTCATTTTCTTATTGTGACTTGCAAACCTTGATGGTTCACTAGCTTTGTCCCGTGATTACTAGATGATTGCTCAAAGGCTATCGATTGGATGTCTCGTCTTACTCTGATTTTATGCTCCCGTACAGGAGAAGCTCATTGTATCGTGTGAGCAGGAGGTGCTGCGTGTTCATTGCAGAGCAGCGAGAACAATCGCAAATCAGGCCGTTCCTTTCAGTGCTTGCACAATGCTGCTGGATTCAGAAGTCTACAACATGCCATCAGAAAGCCAGGTGAGGCCTCGTTTGAACTGTTATTAACACGGTAAAGATGTTATGATGTACATTTCTAACTATTCTTGATCTCCAGGGGGACGAAAACAAGTCTGTGAGAGATCGCTTCAATGCTCGGCAGTTTATCTCCTGGATTCAAGATGTGGATGATAAGTACGACCGCATGAAGGTGAGGAATTTTATTTTTATATATATATATATATGTATATACACACACACACACAGATGGAACTCGAAAAATTAGAATATCCTGCAAAAGTTAATTACATAATAAATTAATAGATTAATATGAATTAAATTAATAGATACATTTGATTTAATTTTAAATTAATAGATAAATAAATTAATAGATAAATTTCAGTAATTCAACTTAAAAGGTGAAACTGAGGCTCATTACATGCAAAGTGAAATATAATTTTTTATTTGTTATAATTTTGATGATTATGGCTTCAGCTTATGGAAACCCCAAATTCAAAATTAGAATATTGTGAATATTGTAAGCCATAATCATCACAATTATAATGAATAAAGGCATTAAATATCTCACTTTGCTTGTAATGAGTCTATATAATATATTAGTTTCACCTTTTAAGTTGAATTACTGAAATAAATGAACTTTCGCTGATTATTTCCTCACCCCCATGATGTCATCCAAGATGTCCATGTCTTTCTTTCTTCAGTCGAAAAGAAATTAAGGTTTTTGATGAAAACATTCCAGGATTTTCTCCATATAATGGACTTCAATGGGAACCAAACGGTTCAAGATCCGAATGAGAGTTTCAGTGCAAACTGTTCAAAGGGCTTTAAACGATTCCAGACGATGAATAAGGGTCTTATCAAGCGAAGAATAACAAAGTTTAAGTTTTATAAGCTCAAATGCTCGTTTATCAAAATGAACGAATCTTTTTTCGTGTCATTTGGTTCATTCGACGAACGAAATTAATGAATTGACTCGGAAAAAGATTCGTTCATTTTGATTGAGTTCGAACAGGAGAGTCACACAGAACAGAGCAAGGCGAGCATTTGAGCTTATAAAACTTAAACTTTGTTATTTATTTATTAAACGAGCGATCGTTTCGCTTGATAAGACCCTTATTCATCGTCTGGAATCGTTTAAAGCCCTTTGAACAGTTTGCATTGGACCTTGAACCGTTTGGACCCCATTGAAGTCCATTATATGGAGAAAAGTCCTGGAATGTTTTCATCAAAAACCTTAATTTCTTTTCGACTGAAGAACGAAAGACATGGACATCTTGGATGACATCATGGGGGTGAGTGAATTATCAACTACTCCTTTAACTAAAACAACTTTAAAGATGAATCAATGCTGTAGAAGTATTGTTCATTCTCACTTCATGTTAACCAATGAACCTAATGTGAAGTGTTACCAAAAAATGCATTTTATAACCCTTAAATGTGCAAGCTTGTGTATATTTCCCAAAGTCTAACGGTAATCACGCTCTCCCGACAGACGTGTTTGCTAATGCGTCAGCAACACGAGGCGGCGGCTCTGAACGCGGTGCAGAGGATGGAGTGGCAGCTGAAGGTGCAGGAGCTGGACCCGGCGGGACACAAGTCTCTGTGTGTGAACGAGGTGCCCACCTTCTACGTGCCCATGGTCGACGTCAACGACGACTTCGTACTGCTGCCCGCGTGACAACGACACACACTCAGACTCTGAGAGTTCGGTCTAACGTTAACCATCTATCAAAGAGACATCAAACTAAAGTTCGGTAAGGGCTAGCCGGTTTGAGGAGATTTCTTTGAGGAAGAGAGAAATATATATATTATATAGAGAAACCAAGGTAAAACTCATCGTTTTTCCCCGCCCGAGGAGGAACCGTTCGTCTTTTTTAAACAGGGAGAGGAAAAACACACAACTTGCACTTTTGTCCTCAAGTTTTTTATGCTTTTGTTTGGGATTTGACGAAGCTAAACTGCTTTGGGTGAACATAAGGGGCAGTGTTTTTGTATCTGTCCCAGCCCACGTTGAGTTACGACAAACAAAACGAGCTTGAGACGGGTTCGTCCACTGTTGTGCTCCGGGACGAAAGACACAAACGTGCGCGACGGGAGTCTATAATGCTAAAGTGGTGGAAAGAACGACTTTCCTGCGTTTCAGGCCGTATTCAGGACAGCTCGGCGAGGAGGAACGATTGAACGCGTGGGCTGACGGTCCCGGAGACACGCCTGCTTTCACAACGAGTGCATAAGGAAACAAGACCGTCACAAATCACGAGAGACGAGGACTTACAAGGTTTTTTTTTTTGTTTTGGTTTGTCTTTCTTTTACTCGGGCATTTCATTGTTCCCTTTCTGAGGAAGTGACTTGAAAAACACTACAGAGCCAACATTAGTTTAATGGGAAAAAAAATGAAAATTGCAAAAAAAACAAAAACAAACAAAAAAAAAAAGGTATTCCGTAAATGATGTACAGTTTTTTATAATCATTAACCAATGTATTCTCGCTGCCTTCTAGATAATTTATTTTGCCACACATTACTGCACAGTTGTAAATAACTTATGTACTGTAACATCACTCAGTTAAAGTGTAAAACAAAAAATAAATGAATTAAAGTAATCATTGTATGTACAGTTCACTTTCGGGCAGCACCCCCCTCCCCTCCCCCCGTCACCTCCCATAATCCCATGGGCCAAACGTCAGTATTTCCATGGATCATCGCGCCGTCTCCACTCCTCCTGATTGCTCTGTCGGGATCATAGTTTCAGATGTAGCAGAGTGATTATGGATTTATTTAAAGATAGTAGAGGTATATTATTCATCCTTTTATTACACAAGTATATATAAACAAAAACAAAAAAAGTATAAACCAAGAAAATGCCTTTATACAGTTAACGTCTCTTCTTTTTTTTTCTAAAGCTGCACAAGTCATAGATAGCATAGTGATTTGGATACACACACACACACATCATGAACTGTACAGTACGCATTTGGATTTAGTATCACACATTGTAATCATGGGAGTTTGTGTGTCATGCCTCTGCTCATGTTTTTAATCTCTCACTAACTTCACCTCTCATTCGTTAATCTTAATCCCGAAGCAATCGAGTTTTTAACTCGTGACTCTTTGAAAGGTCACTTTTATTGCCTGACGCTTATGGCACTGTCCGTGATGTGGACTTTGGACTTTTACACACACACACACACTTTCGTTCTTGGACTCACTGTTTGTATACATGGGCTCACTGACTGTTTTTCTTTTTATATTTAACATCCTTGTTATTCATGGTATTTTTTTTATTTTTAAAAATGCACCAATGTCAATTATTCTCTGATTTTATTTAGTCCGTTTCCATCTTTACAGCACATGCTCGAATTCATCAGTCAACCTAGAGGGGACTCGTGCGAAAGAGGGTGTTTTTTTGTTTTTAAGTTTCAATTATTTTAATTTTTTCAAGTTTCAATTATTAGCTTTTTTTCAAGTTTCAATTATTAGATTTTTTTCAAGTTTCAATTATTATTTTTTTTGTTTCCATCAGATTTTTTTTCAAGTTTCCAATAAAAGTTTTTTTTAAGTTTCAATTGGATTTTTTTTTTTCACTTTTCAATTATTAGAATTTTTTCAGGTTTCAATTATTAGATTTTTTTTTTCAAGTTTCAATTATTAGAAATTTTTTTCAAGTTTCAATTGGATTTTTTTTTTCAAGTTTCAATTATTAGATTTTTTTCCCCAAGTTTCAATTATTCGATTTTTTTTTTTTTCCCAAGTTTCAATTGGATTTTTTTTTTCACGTTTCAATCATTAGTTTTGTTTTTCCAAGTTTCAATTATTAGATTTTTTTTTCAAGTTTCAATTATTCAAAATTTTTTTTTTTTTTTTTTTTTGTGTTAATTTTTTTGGTTTGTTGGTGGGCGACTTGAAATGTGTTTTGATATCTCACCCTTTCTCATCCCCTGCCTGTGCTTCAGTGTGAGGTTGTGTGACGTTTGCTTAACCCATCCAGGCTAGTGTTTTAATTTGGTTTTCTTCCTTTTGTTCTCATGTGTGGTTGCGAGTCTGTGAAGATCCCACATGACGCAGTTGTGTATGTGTGCATTGAGTCTGGGTGCAACAGGTGTCACTGTTTCCGCAGGTAAAGTTTTGTGAGTGTACCGTGTGCGTGACTCTCGACAAACTCGACCGTTTCTTTTTGTGTTGCAATGAAACCCACTGATTTCAGATCAAGTGCTTTTGATGTTATTCGGTGCATTGATCATCACTAAGCCCCTGTTTACAAGATGTGTGTCCTGATTCCCACAACTGATTCAGTTTTAAAAGGCTTGAAATTGTGATGCGATAGAAAATAAAAGTTGATTTCCACTAAATCAGTCGATCGTACACATGCTTGGCCTACGCTGACCTCAGTCTGCAACACATTACCTCTAATAATCACTCGGATTACTGATTATTCCATATGTATGTTGGATAGATTAGGTGTGGAGCCACAATTTCAAGCCTTGTTTGTCCACACATCCAACTCGACTCCTCCAACACATGTTGAACTCTATATAAATAGTGAGAAATAGCCTATTTATTATCTTTCTGACACCTGTGGTATGTTTGAGTTGAAGGTCTCCGCTGTGTAAATTTTCCTCTTGTAATGCGTGAACGAGACGTTGTACATAGCTGTAAATAATATTCCAGGACGTTTTGCACCCTCCTCTTTGTACTAGTCCAAAACTTGCGTAGAATGTGAGATTCTAACAGCGACGAGACGTGTCGTCGCACTCGCTGCCGGTGATGTAACAATGTATCTTTTTTTTGTTTTTGTTTTTTTTGTACAATGTAGTTGAATTATGTACATATTGTTGGAGCAGCTATGGGGAGGGGAGGGGTTTGTGGATGCTATTTCAGTGCTGTCAGAGATCCAGTACTTTCACCTCTTTAGCTGTGTTGATATCCTGCGATTCAAAAAGCGAGAAACTAAAAATGACAACAAAAAACTTAACGGAGAGGAAAAATTCAAAATTGTTATTTTCTACACTTGCATGTACAGAGAGCGCGAGAACTGCTGTTGTTCCTCAGAGATTATGTTCGTAAATAAATTTTTGAAATGACTTGGCTTCTGTGATTTTTTTTTTTTTTTTTTTTTTGGGAGCTGCAATACCACACATCTGCCACAAGAGGGTGACATAAACTCAAGTTCAATATCAATGAGGTTATTTTAACGTTAACAAATGTCACAGCATAGCTTTAACCCATTAAACAAGTCTCAAAGAGACTAAAGTGTCTATTTCTTATGTTTTGGATATTCCTTAATTTCCTAAAAAGAAATGGTTCATTTAACACTAACCAGGTTCTCACGAGATATATAATATCTCAATATAATAATAATATTATTGAGACTAATTGTTCACTAGTTCACTGACACTAAGATTTTTTTTTAAAATCCTTTAACAGAAATGAATGAGTAGTCAATGAATTAATAAATACAAACAACTAGTTGATTGTTTAAGAAATACATACGTACTGTAGACCACGTTTGTGCAACAGCTGTAAAATATGATACTTCTAATTTTAGTTTGAATGTCTCACAAACATAAAGCGAGACGAAGAGTAAAATTGTACCGACTACACATTACTGGAACTCCTGTCACGAGCTGGTTCGCTTTGAATAGGTAATGACTATGCTTTGTAACTACATGAACTAGGTGATTCGTTTGAGTCGATACTTGATTCGGTCAAAACATTTTAATAATCACTCTATCCTAACGGACTATGACGATGAATATATACTAGGCTAGATATTCGCTATAAATATAAAATATTAGTAGAGTCGCATCACAATGCACAAACGACAGCCAATCAGAATCCACCAGACATTAAAGAGCTATTTTAAAGCGACAGGTGCTTTAAAACTAAACAAACCGAATAGCCTAATCTCGCTATCGTTGTATTTACATCGTATCAGTGGTGTTTGAAAGCCAACTCTTAAAAACAATCTTTTTGCTTTAATTTCATATTATTAACAATGTAAAGCTGCTTTGAAACAATCTAGATTGTTAAATGTGCTATATAAATGAAGGTCACTTGACAACTAAGAATAATTAGCTAATATTATTGATTAGTAGGCTACTACTTTATATTTTGATAACAATAACCATGTTGAAAACAACATAACATTCACCGCAACGAAACGAAGGAGCTCTTTTGAGCGTAAAAAAGAATCAATCGAATCTATGAACCGAATCTTCCCAATGAACCGATTGGCTCAAATGAATCCATTCCATGTGCTACGTCACTACCATTGAGTGCGTTCCAGTGTGTGTTTGTGGACAGCCGTTCATTTCCCATCACTACAGCTTGCGATGCCTGTGAGAAACAGCTGTTTCCCTCGATAAAAACTCTAGTTATGGAGTTTGAAACTAAAATCTACCCTCAGATCGGTGGATTTGGGCGATACAACCGGATCGTGACGCTTTTCAGTTGGTTCCCGAACTTTGCGGTCTCGTTGAATCTCTTCAGCGATGTTTTCTTCACGCTGATTCCCGAGTCGTACCACTGCAAACCCGACCTGACGTTATTCCCAGCGTCTTCCGTGCTCGGGAACCTCTCCAGGCAAGCGGTCCTCAATCTCACCGTCCCGTGGATGAAGGGCTCCGGGTTCAGTCACTGCGAACTGTACAAGTACCCGCTGAATACCAGCAACCTCACGGAGAGCGCGCCGCGGGACACGGTGCCCTGCACGGTTGGGTGGGAGTTCGCCAAACCCGCGGGACTACAAAACAACTTGGTGACCGAGGTTAGTATCCGAACCGAACCGTCAGAATGCGAACCGAACTGTTGCGAGTTCTCTCAAGTTATGACGCGACGGGTCTACTTTATTTAAGAACATGAATTGTTATGATTTTTAATTTATAAGCTTTGAATTGCCATAGTGTGATTATTTTACTTTCTTTCTATGTAAAGGATTTTGAATAACCGTTTTATCCTTGCTTTTATGTTGCGAGTAATTTAATTCCTTTCTATGTAAAGCACTTTGAATTGCCATAGTGTATGAAATGTGCTAGATGGAAAAAATGCAATTATACGGTTCATTAGAAGGATCAATTACTTCTCTACAGCATTTATTAATCTTAGCTGATATTAATTTCAACATTTACTAATAAATTATTGTATTAGTTAACATTAGTTATAAAACGGTTAGTTCCAAATATTGATTCTGATTGGTCGATAGCTGTGCTTTATTCATGATAACACACAGCTATGACCGCTTCACCCAACGGTTCTCTGTATCACTGCGCAACACTGCACTGCAGTTCCTATGTTGTGTTTACTTGATGCTTTTCACGGTCAGGGACTATTTTTTCTGGCGGAAGGAAGGCTTTTTAGTGATTTTACTTCATGAAAGTTGCTCTAATAATTTTTTTTTTACTTTAATATTTTTATTATGTGGTAACCGTTTTATAAAAGCAATAAGGTACTCGAGGCTAGTGCTGTATCTTGAATAAGTTACGGCTGAAGGGCGTTGTTAGGCAAGACGCGGAGTACACGATACAGCACAGCCTCTCGGACCTTATTGCACTGAACAAACAATGAACAGCTTTATTATTATTAACTAACATTACCAATGATTAATAATATTTTGCGGAATTGCTAATTTCCAAATAAATAAATAAACGTTTTGTTTTGTTTGGTTGGTTTTTAGGGCTGTCAAACGATTAATCGTGATTAATCGTATATACAAGCATGTGTGTATTTATATATATATATATATATATATATATATAATTATACACAGTGCACCCACATATATTATGTAAACACAAACTTTTATTTTGGATGTGATTAATTGCGATTAATCGTTTGACAGCCCTATTGGTTTTATAATGTAGAAAGTTGTCTGTTATTGTTTATATTGTGCTGTGATCCCAGATCCGTCCTAATTTTAAATAATGGTCATATTTAATATGCATATTAGTCAGGCTAGATTAGTATTGACCATCATGTCAATTAATAAACCATGTAAAATCTGCTGATATACATAATTGTCTGCCATAAAATACAGCGTTGTTGTTGACTAACCATGAGTAAGATTACAGGTTATGAATTCATATTTAATCTATGAGACCCTGAAGTCGTCACTGGAAGCTCAGGGATCAGTGGACTTCCTGTTTAACAGGAAGTAAAGAGCTTTTCATGAGGCCTTGACTCGCAATATGTTTCCTTTTCCACGATGGAATATAAAAGCTTTTCCGTGTCATGAAATGTGGATTAGTTTGCAGAAAGATCCTTCTGGAAGCCGAGTGTGTTGAACTGCAGTGGCGTGGCTTCACATTAGCTGTAATGTAATAATACAAGTTGATTATATAATAAAGTAAGTCGCATCCACACTCAGTCAGCTGGTGTTTTGGATCGGCTAAAAAGTTTTAATGTTTCAGTGATTTTATACATTCGATTGACATTATTAGAAGAGTGAGTGTCAGTGATGTTTAATTTGTAAAGTTTCCTACTGTGATATCCAACTCAAAGTAGCTCTTATGATGGTTTTAGCTGTTTTAACTGGTGGTTAGTCCCTCCCCTTCCGGTCGACCACCATGGGAGCTTATTTCGGAAAAATATTGAATGGTAGTCAATGGCGAGAGACAAAGAATTTTTTTATCTCGTTTGAATTGTGCCCTGAATTACACATATGCTTTTTGTCAATTTAAAAGATGCGTTTTAAAGTAAAGAAAGTCGCAGTTTGATGTAAAACCGTTGAGGTATAAGACTGTGAAAATACGTCATTACAAAGACTACAAACCCCAAAGGCGCGCATTTTCTCTCAATGAATAAAGCTAACTTTACCGAGGCTGTCTGTCATTGTTTATAGTCTTGCGTTATAATCGTAACGTTACGCCGTCCTACCTGAGTGTTTTGTACCAGACTGCACACACACGAGCAGTGTGCACACACGGATCTCACTCGTTGTTTCGCTTCCCGGGAGATGTAGTTCACAGAGCAATTTTCACATAAAACTTCTGTTTTATGACAAACGGCGACGTTTTTGACTTTCAGAATTATCTTTTAAATTGACAAACATCATATGTGTAATTGAGGGCACAGTTCAGACGGAATAAAAAGATAAGTTGTCTCTCGCCATTGACTACCATTCATATTTTTTCCGATGAGCCGGAAGTGGAGGGGCGGGACTTAGTCATTAGCTGGTCCATTTTCCATAGTCGTGTCACAATATATCACACAAAACAAAAATGCAACAACATGTATTGTGGATAGTTATCAGAGTTTTAGTGTCCCAACTACATTAAACTACTATATAATGTTGAATTTAAGCAATGGGGGAATATTTAATGCCAAATGTTACCAGTATAAAGTGTCTGACATTATTTTAATTATATCTAGTGAAAGAGTGCCAGCATATTCGTCTAAAATAATTCCGTATTTTCATCTTCAGAATCATGAATGTTGTTATTCTGGTGTCTCTATTGTCCAAGAATATTCATTTACACACATAATGATAGACCAAATGTAGTCTTTAATCGACAGTTCATTTTTTGTTCACCTTTTATCGTGTCTCTGAGTGAGTATCACAACAATGATATCGAGACGTGAGGGTGTCCACCATTAGAGTTTTCCAGCTGCTAGTTTGAAAGTGTGTGTGTGTGTGTGTGTGTGTGTGGACAGTGGGGTCTGGTGTGTGCCGATCACTGGAGGATCCCGCTCCAGCACGTCTGCTTCATGACCGGCTGGACCGTCGGCTACGTCCTCCTCGGCGCCGTCTGCGACTGGTGAGGCTTTCTTCAACACTCAGTGACTTTTCATACCACTAAGTGGACTTAAATAAGTGTGTGTGTGTCAGGTTGGGCCGTCGCTGTTGCCTGCTGCTGTCAGTGGTGTTCTCGGGACTGCTGGGAATCATGGCGTGTCTCTCCAACAGTCCTTCTGCTTTCCCGTTCCTGCGGCTCCTGCAGGGCTCAGCGCTAGCCGGAGTGTTTCTGTCATCTTACATCGCACGCAAGTACACTTTATCATCACATGACCTCTCCACATCTGCAGTCGACGAGCTCTGAGACTGAAACACTCAAGTGTGTGTTCACTCCAGCTCCATATTTGACTAGATTTGACTCTACACAACAGGAAGTGCTGCTGGCCCTTTAAATGTTCCTGAAGTCTCAGATCTCGAGTCACCATAGATTAATGAAACCCCTCTAAAGTGTTCATCTGGCTTTAATTTACATCATATACAAGTAAAACTATTTCAAGGAAGTGATATCACATATTCGAGTCTTTAGCGGCCCGGATAACACTACAGTGTGTGTGTGTTTAAGGGTTTAAGACGCACACTATCAACCAAAGTCTGGATATATTTGAATTTATTTATTTATTTAATTAATTTTTAAGGCTCTCAAAATGAACAGGTTTGCACATGCAATTAATTCTCTTCAGTTTAACGTGTTTCTGTGTATTTCCTAATTGGATTTATGTAAATATTGTTTTAAGTTCACTTAAATTAAAACTTATGTTTTTAAAGGTTAAAATTGATAGATTTTAATATTGAAATGAGGAATGGCTTTAATTAATAAATGTTTCATAGAGACATCAGTTGCAGTTTTGGTATTTTCGTAAAAAGATTGTATATTGAATAAATATTATAATATGTTTTTTTCTACATTCATTTGGAGATTATATTTGAAATTGTTAGAATATATGTATAAAAAAACTTTAATATTTGGTGTGATTAATTGGTTAATGTTTATGTTTTAGTCTTTTGAAATGAAAATAGGCAAATATAAATCACAACTCAATCACAAGTGTAATTTTATTAGCCTATAGTTTTATAAATATTTTTAATTCGAGTTCATTTTTATTTATTAGTTCAATTTTTAGTCATTTAATTTTGTGCTTTTGTCATTTGCATTATTATTTTTTTAGGTTTAGCTTATTTTAATTTCAATTTTAGCTGGTTTTAATTTGTATTTATTTCCAAGTAATAATGTTTGTGTTTTATCTTAAATGAAACTCAGTTTAGAAATTTTCAGTTTAGTTTAATTCCAACTAAATTGAATATTTTATTTTATTTCAGCTTTTTTTCTTCTTCATTTAACAGAAATGTTTCTTTAGTTTTAGTCAAGGATAATATTCCTAATACTCACAGTACACACTCTTTATTAAAGCATATATAACTGATACTAATAATAAAGAACGAGTAGATATGCCTAAATAAATAAAAGATTATAAGGAGGAATGAGTTGTTTAGACTTGCGTGCGTGCGTGTGTGTGTGTGTGTGTGTGTTTGTGTAAGCAGATGTTCTTGATCGATAGGAGACTCTTGATAAGGAGTGTTTTTCTTTGACTAGGAACAGCATTCCACTTCTATCTCACACACACACACACACTCTTCACTCTGATCATCAGTGTGTGTTTAATCGGCTGAGGAAAGTTCAGTGTGTGTGTGTGTGTGAGGATCTGATCTCTGTTCTTGAGTCCGTGTTCTTGTCCTGCACTTCCTGTGATTGTTATGTGAGAGTGTGTGTGGAAAACTGTGTGTGTAAACACTCGACACACTGATGATTACTGGTGTCCACATCTCACAATAACAGTGTTGAAAGAGTTTCGTATGTAAGAAGTATTTTCAGCTTGATGAGACTTCAGTTATTTGATCAGAAATAGTCAAAATTGTTGTTTTTTTTACAATTTAAAATAACTGTTTCTATTTGATTGTATTATAAAATGTAATTTATTCCTGTGATAAAGCTGAATGTTCATTATTACTCCAGTCTTCAGTGTCACATGATCCTTCAGAAATCACTCGAATATGAGTTGATGATCAAGAAACATTTATGATTATTTTGTTTTTACTGCTTAATTTATTGTGGAAATTGTGATACGCTATCATTCAAAAGTTTGGGATGAGCACGATAAATAAATTATATATATTTATATATATGTGTGTGTGTGTGTATATATATATATATTCAGCAAGGATGCATTAAATTGACATTTATAACAAACATTTATTTAGTAAAGACATTTATATTAATATCTATATTTTATATCTATAATCTATTCTGTTTCAAATAAATGCTTTCTATTGATTGTATAAACATGAAATCAACATTGATAATATTAAAGAAACTATTATTAATTATTGAAAGTCAATAACAATTGATATTGATTGAGAATCAAGTGATCCTATTAGAGTGATTTCTGAAGGATCATGTGACACTGGAGTAATGACGTTGAACGTTCAGCTTTGAGACTCCGCCCACACAGTCTTCTGATTGGCTGTTATGTTTGATTTAATTGTGAGTGCAGTGCGCTTGCAGAGAGACTCCGCCCACACAGTCTTCTGATTGGCTGTTATGTTTGATTTAATTGTGAGTGCAGTGTGCTTGCAGAGAGACTCCGCCCACACACTCTCTTCTGATTGGCTGTTATGTTTGATTTAATTGTGAGTGCAGTGCGCTTGCAGAGAGACTCCGCCCACACACTCTCTTCTGATTGGCTGTTATGTTTAACTGATTTAATTGTGAGTGCAATGTGCTTGCAGAGAGACTCCGCCCACACTCTCTTCTGATTGGCTGTTATGTTTGATTTAATTGTGAGTGCAGTGCGCTTGCAGAGAGACTCCGCCCACACTTTCTCCTGATTGGCTGTTATGTTTGATTTAATTGTGAGTGCAGTGTGCTTGCAGAGAGACTCCGCCCACACTCTGTTCTGATTGGCTGTTATGTTTGATTGATTAATCCTGCAGGACTGGAGTGGTGTGACCCGCCGCACAGACTCATGGTGTCGATGGTCAGCGGCTTCTTTGCGTTGTTTGCCGAGCTGCTGTTGCCGGGGCTGGCAGTGCTGTGCCGTGATTGGCCCGTTCTTCAGGCCGTCACCACACTTCCCCTGCTGTTACTGCTCTCCTATTGGTGGTGAGCCGTATGAATACTGTCTGTGTGTGTGTCGTTTTCTTTGAAGGAGCAGTACATTCTGACTACTTCATGGTTGAAACATAAAGCAACAGATGGTCATTTTGGCAGATATATATATAAATGTCATATTAATTCCCCAAAAAAATAATTAAAAGAGCCCCATGAGTTAATAATCATAATATTGATTTCTCTATTTTAATTGTACTTGTTGATGTGTTGATGCATGTTCACACCAAATTTGCACTATGAAACTTGTTTTGTAAAGTTTGCATTGATTAAGCACCACTAATTATGTGATTTGTGTGTGTGTGTTGCGCACACAAGCTGTGCTTCAGTGTTCCCAGAATCCCCTCGTTGGCTCTTGGCCACATCTCAGATTCCTCAAGCGAAGAAGTGTCTCCAGTCGTTTTCAGCACGAAACGGTGTGTGTGTTAGTGACGAGCTCTTCCCTGCTGAAACACTGCTGTCCGGTGAGAATCTCCGCCTCACACACTCCCGTCTCCACACATGCACCGAAGCCGAAACCAATATAATAAAACACTTGGCCGAAACCCGAATAAACGCATTTTTCAATTTATTTGAAAAATGTTACACCATTGTATATTAAATTAAAGGAGTAGTTCACTTTTAAAAAACTTTTTCTGATAATTTACTCACCCCCATGATGTCATCCAAGATGTCCATGTCTTTCTTTCTTCAGTCGAAAAGAAATTAAGGTTTTTAGTGAAATCATTCTCCATATAATGGACTTCAATGGGAACCAAACGGTTCAAGATCCAAATGACAGTTTCAGTGCAAACTGTTCAAAGGGCTTTAAACGACTCCAGACGATGAATAAGGGTCTTATCAAGCGAAACGATCGCTCATTTAATAAATAAATAACAAAGTTTAAGTTTTATAAGCTCAAATGGTCGCGTTCGTGACTCTCCTTTTCGAACTCGTTCATCAAAATGAACAAATCTTTTTTCATATCATTTGGTTCATTCAACGAACAAAACTAATGATTTGACTCAGAAAAGGATTCGTTCATTTTGATTCGTCATTCATCGTCTGGAATCGTTTAAAGCCCTTTGAACAGTTTGCACTGAAACTCTCATGAACCGTTTGGTTCCCGCTCTTCAGCGGAGAGTGTGTCTCGTGACGGGACGGCTCTTCGGTTCCCAGTACTCCCGCTCTCTGAGTCTGAAGCCTGAGTCACATTAGCACAAATCCAGAGCCATCGCGCAGTCAATAGACCCATTTAGGTGTTTAATTTGAGGAATCAAGACCGTCCCACCCTGAGATATTCACTGGAATGTGATGGTCAGAAATATACCAACTCTTTCCTATGTCTCTCGCCCTCCCTCTCTCTCTCAATTCAATTCAATTCAAAATTGCTTTATTGGCATGACTGTACATATTACAAAATTGCCAAAGCTTGGAATGCATAGAATAATTATAAAGACATCAAAATAGTACAATATTAAAACATACAAATTAAATTAATTGTACAAATTAACAGTAACAAATTAGAATATCTGTGAACAGTTGATACCCCAGTGTTTTAACACACACACACACATTACTGAGGGTCACTGTGGTGGACAGTAGGGAAACACACTGAGGTGAGGTCAAACACACACACACATCTGGCAGCTGTCCACTTGTGTAATGACCTTGACGCAGTGTTTGTTGTAAGTTATCTCCACTTTTTGATGTTTTGGGTAAAATTTAGCAATAATATTTCAAGTTTTGGGGTGTAAATCATCTCGTGATCAGTGGGAAATCTGCACTGCTTCTCATTCTTTGGTTGGTCAAGCAAATTTAGCCATCTGGAACGCTTATAAAATTGAAATGGAAGGACAAAAAGTTAATATGGTGAATTTGTTCAAGGCCTTGCTTGAATCTAGGATACGATTAGAATATTAATTTAATAAAAATTAAATTGCAACATCCTAATGTTTGAGAAGAAATGCTGTGTAAACAAAAGTTAGATTTTTATAGAAGGTGAACATCTTTTTTTTTTTTTTTTTAATGGTAATGGTTGGTTAAATTATGTTTTTATTTGTTATTTTTTTAATGGTGGAATAAATTGCTTTAAAAAGTTTATTGGTACTTTTCCCCACCATATACCATTTAGGAACTATAGTCATCCCTGATTGGTCTTAACCCCAGTGACGGGTAGGTTTAGGGGCGGGGTTAGGGGTAGGCCATCATCCCTGATTGGTCTTAACCCCAGTGACGGGTAGGTTTAGGGGCGGGGTTAGGGGTAGGTCAATCGTCCCTGATTGGTCTTAACCCCAGTGACGGGTAAGTTTAGGGGCGGGGTTAGGGGTAGGCCATCATCCCTGATTGGTCTTAACCCCAGTGACGGGTAGGTTTAGGGGCGGGGTTAGGGGTAGGTCAATCGTCCCTGATTGGTCTTAACCCCAGTGATGGATAGGTTTAGGGGCGGGGTTAGGGGTAGGCCATCGTGGGGTCCGGATAACAGGAAAGTACCAGTTATTTAAAAAAGTAATATCTCTCTCTCCCTCTCTCTCTCTGTCTCTCTCCCTCTCTCTCTCTGTCTCTCTCCCTCTCCCCCTGTCTGTAGAGATAGATGAGATGTTCCCTGAAGACGTGCGGCCGGAGTGTCATCATGTGATGGAGTTGCGTCACACCAGAGTCATCTGGAAGAACTGCCTGATTTTGGGCTTCACTCTGTAAGTTACTCCTGAAACTGAAACACACTTCTGCTACACACGTGAGTGTGTGATATTAAACGTACAAACTTCCGTTGAGAAAGGCATTGTGGGTAATATTAGCCAGCAAAGAAACTTTTCGAAACTCTTCTGATCATATTCCATCATCCAAGCCCGCGTGTTCTGTGATCGGCTCATTTTGCCTTAAGTACAAATACTTTGCAAATGGAGATGTTGCGAACAATAGCATTCATTTGGGTGTGTATAAATATATTAAATATATTAGTTTGTGTTTACATAATATGTGTATAATTATTTTAAATATATAAATACACACACATGCTTGTATAGATTTAAGAATTATTTTCATTTGTATACTGTATATAGATTTATATTATATATAAATATAAATGTTTTATATATAAATGATATTTTTATAATGTGTGTGTATTTATATATTTAAAATAATTATACACAGTGCACCCACATATATTATGTAAACACAAACTTTTATTTTGGATGCGATTAATCGTTTGACAGCCCTACTACACACTAGAGCCAGACCGATATTATCGGCCGATATTAGGCATTTTCCAAACTATCGGTATCGGCAGTTATAAAGGCCGATAAATGAATATTTCAAAAATAAAATAAAAACGGATGAAACACGCTTGAACCATGTCACGAGTGTTGGAGTTGTATGGTTTGTCCACCAGAGGGCACTCTACACGCTCCTGTTGGCAACACTCGTTTATAACGCGCAACACATTCTAGCTAACCACAAAGCTAGCTAATGCCACTATCATCAGTGGAATTTAATGAGCTTTGTTAATTAATTAATGAGCTTTGGTTCCTCCTCTGTTCTGTTGCGACAATAAAAGAAACAAATTTCTTTTTAATATCCATTATCATGTTATTTTAATTAAAACTCATAAATAACTACAAATAACTAATGTTAGGGAAATCTGTTAATGTTTTGTTGCGCGTTTCTGAAAAAAATAAAATAAAAAATATCGGCCGATATATCGGATTTTAAAACCAACAAATATTTGTATCGGTATCGGCCTTCAGAATCCTGTATCGATCGGGCTCTACTACACACACACACACACACACCATATAAAAGTGCATCATGACCCGTTTCTCTAACGGACTCCCGTTCCCTGTCCCGTCAGCTTCATCGGCACCGGGATCCAGTACTGCTTCACACGCAACCTGCACATCTACTACACACACTTCTACTTCAGTTACTCCCTGCGCGTGCTGACCGGCGCGCTGGCCTGTGTGTTCCTGTGTGTGTGTGTGGACCGCTTCGGCCGCAGGGGGATCTTACTGCTGTCAGCCATCGTCACGGGCCTGTCCTCGCTGCTGCTGCTCGCTCTCACACAGTGTAAGACACACACACACACACATATAACAAAAATGCTAAAAACATAATGATCACTGCAATAGTGATCTAATCATAGACTCTTATGCAAAATCCAAACAGCGACTACTACTACTTTGTTTTGGCCGGCAGTGTATTATATTATACACTATCCTCCTACACAATAGTTAACATGAACTAACAATACTTTTACAATACAATGCTTCGAGCTTAAAGGAGTAGTTCACTTTTGAAAAAACTTTTGCTGATATTTGACTCGCCCCCATGATGTCATCCAAGATGTCCACGTCTTTCTTTCTTCAGTCGAAAAGAAATTAAGGTTTTTGATGAAAGCATTCCAGGATTTTCTCCATATAATGGACTTCAATGGGGACCAAACGGTTCAAGGTCCAAAAGACAGTTTCAGTGCAAACTGTTCAAAGGGCTTTAAACGATTCCAGACGATGAATAAGGGTCTTATCAAGCGAAACGATCGCTCATTTAATAAATAAATAACAAAGTTTAAGTTTTATAAGCTCAAATGCTCGCCTTGCTCTGTTCTGTGATGCGCGTTCGTGACTCTCCTGTTCATCAAAATGAACGAATCTTTTTCAGAGTCAATTCGTTCGTTTCGTTCGTTGAATGAACCAAATGACTCGGGAAAAAGATTGTTCATTTTGATGAGCTTATAAAACTTACACTTTGTTATTTATTTATTAAATGAGTGATCGTTTCGCTTGATAAGACCCTTATTCATCGTCTGGAATCGTTTAAAGCCATTTGAAGCTGCACTGAAACTCTCATTTGGATCTTGAACCGTTTGGTCCCCATTAAAGTCCATTATATGGAGAAAATCCTGGAATGTTTTCATCAAAAACCTTAATTTCTTTTCGACTGAAGAAAGAAAGACGTGGACATCTCGGATGACATCATGGGGTGAGTGAATTATCAGCAAAAGTTTTTTTTTAAAAGTGAACTACTCCTTTAAGGACATTTCTACATATTCCAATCATGAAAGGCTTTTAATAAAGGTCATTACATGATCTAACACTGGTCAGAAGGCTTTCAGCTCCACTGACTAAATAAATCTCATTGTGAATTGTCTCAAATCGAATCATTCCTGAATTTAAAATCTCAGAATCGTGAATCAATCGTCTCCCCAAACTTTCACACTCCTACTTAATGTGTCCTTCATGGAGTAAGCAGTCCCAGAATGCTTTGCAACAAGCTCAGTGGAAATTTTGATCTAATGTAGAGTTGCATTTCAATCTTTCCTGGAGATTTTGGTCAGTTTTTGTTTTTCTGCTGAAAGATTGCTGTCTCTCTCTTTCTCTATATTGTTTTAAACAAAATGTTTTAATCAATGGTTTCAAATATTCCCAAGTATTAATGTCAGGTGTTTAATTGTATATTATGTCATGCAAAAATGGCGTTTCACATTACAAGAGAGCAGAAAGTTGATGACGGTGTGTGTGATGATCTAGCAGCAGTGTTTAATAGGTTTGAATTATTAGATATATACTTAATTTATAAACTAAATTGCCCCATGGGGGACAATAAAGCTTAACTAACTAACTTAATTTGGTGTTGTTGTGATGCTGATGATGCTGATGATGTGTGCTCTCAGATCTGCACGGAGGACTGGTCCTGGTTCTGTCAGTGCTGGGTCTGCTCTCGTCTCAGGCGTTAGCCATGCTCAGTGTGTTCTTCGGCAGTGAGGTCATGCCCACCGTCGTGCGGTAATCTCAAACACACACACACACACACACACTTGGGCTTAAAATACTAACATTCCATTTCCTTCAATGATTAAATGAACTTTTGCACAATATTCTAATTTTTTGATATCGGTTAATACCATTAAATCGTGCATCCCTAATAACCCTCTTAATGTTATTTAGTGTGTGTGTCCACAAAAATCACAGCTTTATCAGAATGTTACAAAACTTTTCTGGCATTAGGGATGTAAACACAAAAAAAAATAGTTCATGATCTGAGCATGCTAAGTGGTCGTAAAAAAATTAGTCCCAATTTTGGTCTTCGGTCAGAAATGACCCCCATAGGAAATGAATGGGAAACCATTTCCTAAAAATCCACCAATTCTTAAAAAAAAGACTTAATAAGAAATAGTTTTTGAGATTGTTTCAAATATAAATTCAAATCCACCAAAAAACAAAAAAAAAGTAAATGTGTTCATAAACATCTGGGGAATTCACATGTCTCTCCATAGAGAGCTGTACATGCCATCTAGTGGTTACACCATCATTCTACGCATTTTCTCTATACTCTAACCAGATGGTGCTAATTTTCTTCAAAAAAAACAATTTTTCTGAAGGTCTAGACTCTATATTAAACTAAAATCCTGAATTAATATATATAAAAAAAAAAATATATATATATATATATATATACACAGTGGTGTGAATAAGTTTGGACACCCATGCTAAAGTTGCATAAAAAGAGGAATAAAAACATCATCACACACCTTTTCCACCACACCGAGAGATTGGCATGGTTTTACTTCAGTTAGCCTAATAGCTGGTTTGATTTGCATTGAAAGATGATCTTATGGAAAGTACCCCATGCCAATCTCTAGGTGTGGTAGAAGGTGTGTGATGATGTGGGGATATTTTAAGGGAACTTTATCAGGATGCATATTATCCTGGATCCATGAAATAACTGACTTTTAAAAATAAAAATCTGCCTGACTCTATGGGAATTTAACATAGGGGTGCCCTGACTTATGCACCCTGTATTTTAAGGAAAAACATTCATTTATTTATGATACATTATTCATTCACAAAAAAATGTGTGTCCTTAAAGGTTGGAGTTTTCCTCAGTTTTCTAATTAAGGCATTAAGATCAATGTCCAAAAGATGATTTTTTATTCCTCTTTTTAGGCAACTTTAGCATGGGTGCCAACACTTATTCACACCACTGTATAAATATATATATATATATATATATATATATATTATATATATATTTCCATGGCAAAATATACCATAAATATTAATAAATTCAATCAAATTGTCTCAAAATACTAAATTAAAAATAATAAATATTATAGAACAAAAATAAATTGCATTGGTTTTTACTGGGATGGAGGAAGTTTCATTTTTAGGTGTCCGGTCACTTCTGACCGGGAAGGCTCAGGACGTGACTCCTAAACAAAGACCATCAGAGGGTTAATGGCAAAAAAATCATTAGGATATTAAGTAAAGATCATGTTCCATGAAGATATTTAGCAAATTTCCTACCGTAAATATATATATATATATACATGTATATATATATATATATATATATACATGTATATATACTGTATATATATACACAGTGGTGTGAATAAGTTTTGACCCCCATGCTAAAGTTGCCTAAAAAGAGGAATAAAAAATCATCTTTTGGATATTGATCTTAATGCCTTAATTAGAAAAATGAGAAAAACTCCAACCTTTAAGGACACCAATTTTCTTTGTGAATGAATAATGTATCATAAATAAATAATATATATATATATATATATATATATATATATATATATATATATATATATATATATATATATATATTTCCATGGCAAAAATATACCATAAATATTAATAAATTCAATCAAATTGTCTCAAAATACTAAATTAAAAATACTAAATATTATAGAACAAAAATAAATTGCATTGGTTTTTACTGGGATGGAGGAAGTTTCATTTTTAGGTGTCCGGTCACTTCTGACCGGGAAGGCTCAGGACGTGACTCCTAAACAAAGACCATCAGAGGGTTAATGCCAAAAATCATTAGAATATTAAGTAAAGATCATGTTCCATGAAGATATTTAGCAAATTTCCTACCGTAAAAAAAAATATATATATATATGAAGAGTTCAGATGCAAAAGCCTCTAAATGCCATTTGAAATTTTCTTCTTTAATTATGATTTTTATCAAACTTGTATATTTAAGTTCAGTAATTTCACTTAAATAACTATTAATAGGTAATTATCATTGCCATTTAAGTGAAATCACTGAACTTAAATATACAAGTTTGATAAAAATCATCATTAAAGAAGAAAATTTCAAATGGCATTTAGAGGCTTTTGCATCTGAACTCTTCATATATATATATATATATATATATGTATGTATAAAGAATGTGTAAATGGATGCAGCAAAAGCATGAATAATGCACAACTTTAAAGGCGATTTTCTCAATGTTTTTACTTTTTTGCACCCTCAGGTTCCTAATTTTCCAATAGTCATATCTCAGCTAAATATTGTTCTATGTTAATAAACCATACATCAATGGAAAGTGTATTTATTCAGCTTTCAAATGATGTATACATCTCAATTTGTGACTGGTTTTGTGGTCCAGGGTCACATGTAGTGTTTTACGATGAATACAACAGCTACTATCACGTACTGGAACTGACCGTCTTCTATAAAGTGTATAACCCTAGTGTACATCAGATGTTTGAGTGTTGTAAACTGTGTGTGTGTGTCCTCAGCGGTGGCACGTTGGGTCTCATCATGTCTGCGGGGTGTGTAGGAATGGCTGCGTCGTCTCTGATGGAGCTGCAGAATAACGGAGGCTATTTCCTTCATCACGTGGTGTTCTCCTCGTTCGCTGTGCTGTCGGTGCTGTGCATCATGCTCCTGCCCGAGAGCAAACACAAGCCGCTGCCGGACTCGCTGCGCGACGGGGAGCGTCAGCGCCGTCCTCCGCTCTTCCTCTCGCGGGTCGACCGGGAGAACCCACCGCTACTGCGCACGCAGACGCTCGGCGCAGAGTTCAACCGCGACAACTACGCTCGTCTCGTCAGCGCAACCAGGAAGATCATCGCTAAAGACGCCGTGCCTCTCAAGATCTCCAGCGTCACACACACACAAGCTCAGGCGCCTCTGCTGGACCGTAACGGCACTGCACCGGGCGCCCGTGAGGAGGAGTCCTAGCATTACACTCAAACACACACACAGGACATCTTGTTCACCGTGTCTTTTCCCGGGGAAGACGTCGTCTTGGTGCTTAAACTGTTGAGAATCCAAGCGTTCGACTGTTGAAGTGTATATTTCGGTCATATTCATACACTCATCATGAAGTTTCCCACTAATTGAGCCGTCGCCTGTCCACTTACAGGAGCACCTCATGCCTCTCATTACTGCAGTCCTGTGACACACACACACACACACACTGCTGGTTCACGGAGGAGTGCTGGAGATCATCCACACACACTTTTACTCCTCAGAGTGGATGGATTCGCACTCGATGATGTCAGAATCACCAGAAAACGAGTGTGAAAGTGTTCGATGATGTCATTTTGTGGAATCTCATGCGTTATTTTTGTCGTTTTGTACTTCCTGTCTTTCTGAATGTCTTGTTTTGTTGTTGTTGTTGTTTCTTAAAACCAAGCCTGGCAAAGCAAAGGAACTGTTTTGCCACTTTTTTTCTTATTATTGTATCTGTTACTTGTTTTATATGGAATTAAACAGTTTATTGTACCAATCATGTACTTTTGATCCTGAATTCCCAATCGGAGCCGTGATATTTCACATATCAGTATCAGGATGAACAGTGCTGGGTAGGAACTATCGTGTCATGGTACATTCGAGTCTTTGCAGGAACAATAAGTGTGTATTTATCATGTTTAGGAGTGTGCCATTCACAACAGTGTTTTCACTACGGTCTGTCATTTGGATTAGTGACTGGCCAACCTGAGTTTGTGCCTTATCATAAACATGACATCATTAAAAAGACATGTGATTTGACGGGGTTTCCCCATCATAAACCATTTTCCACTGCCGATCACGTGACGTGTCGCGTCATGAATGAAGTCACGTCCAATGCGGAAGTGAATGATAATCGAGCATTCGCCCAACGATTCTAACGAAACCGACTCGCTGTCCGCGTCCGAAGAGGAATTTACAGGTAAATATGACGGTTTTTAAATCTTAGTTATCGTTTTTATTGGGTATTTATGATGATTGGTTTGTGTCTGTAGGTTTTGTTTACTTTGTTTACAGAATTAGCTCTTTTAGCCGCTAATCGAGGCTCTTCCTGGTTTGAACGATCAGATTTCTAACGGTTTAAAATAGTATTTATGCGTTATAAAGAATAGCATCGATGCATAATAATATTAACAAGTGACTGATAGTCAAATAGACTGTTTTTTAGGCACTTGTTTTGGCTAACTTAATTCTCATGACTCATACTAGTAAACATCTCTAAGGAAATCGAAATGACAAACGAGACGATATTTCTTTAAGCGTGTAACCGACTAAGAAAAAGTGCTAGATTAACATATGTTTTGACATGTACTTTGGTATTATTTTTAGTACTTGTAAACAGCACAATCATTCGACGTAATCTGAAACTGAATCACGTTGTTTTGATCGGATACCATAGTAACGCTCTTTTTGACATGGGTAACATAGGGGACTACTTTTATCTAAAATGATCAGGTTTCTAATAACGTTAGCTAACCTGTGCTGTTGTCATGTTATGACGGTGACGTCATTGTCATGTTATGACTGACGTCACTCGCCAAACAGGAGGGGTATCTCCCAAATCTGCCATTTGACCTTCAATCTAAGTCCTTTCTGTCCATTTAACCTGATATTTATCTTCCACAGAGCCCTCGTCATGCTTGGTGGAGGGTTCAAGTCCGAGAGACTGCGTGTCAATCTCAGGCTTGTCATAAACCGCCTCAAACTTCTTGAGAAGAAGAAAAGTAAGTTTGGGTCGTCTACAAGTTGCACATGTTTTGGACGGGCTAAGCTAATCTGATTTGCTCTGATTTAGCCGAATTAGCTCAGAAGGCTCGCAAGGAAATTGCAGACTACTTGTCAGCGGGCAAAGATGAGCGAGCGAGGATCCGGGTCGAGCACATCATCCGGGAGGATTATCTGGTGGAGGCCATGGAGATCCTGGAGTTATACTGTGATTTGCTGCTCACCAGATTTGGGTTAATACAGTCCATGAAGTGAGTAACCTTTTTATTCTCGGATCACAATCACAAAAATCACGCAAAAATGACATTTAGGATGTTTTGTCCGGAGGTTAAAGACAACAGTCAGTAGTCGGGTCTGTCCCGCATATCCTCCTCCTGCCCATAGAGGGCGATCTCACTCACAGAATCAACATAGTGTCGGCCATCTTTTTTTGGATGCTAAGCTAGCAGGCTCTTTTTCTGTGGAGAAAGCTGAGTAGTCGGGGTTACCATCCTCTTTTTCCCGGACGTGTGTCTCTCTATGTCTATATTGGTAATATATATTACTTTTACAAAGGTACATTGTCAAGAACGGCAGTAATGTAGCCAGATTTGCTTTGACAGTATATCTGCACGCAATCATATGCTTGTGTGGACGTAGTCAGTTTTGACAACAAAAGATGAGGTATAAGATAAGAGAAAAATATAGTCACGTGTCGCCACCTACTGGTGTAACACTGTAAATGATGAAAAAACGTTAATTGCTGCAGTTTATTATACATTTTTTAATCGGGGTGAGTGAATGATTCAATCGCTCACTCATTTCATTACTGGATGAATCAGCGTTTTTGAACGAATCTCTTGAATGAATGATTCACTGACATACATTTTTAATAGTCACGTGTCGCCACCTAAAGGTGTAACACTGTAATTGATGAAAAAACGTTAATTGCTGCAGTTTATTATACATTTTTTAATCAGGGTGAGTGAATGATTCAATCGCTCACTCATTTCATTACTGGATGAATCAACGTTTTTGAACGAATCTCTTGAATGAGTGACTCAGTGAAAAATACAGTAACTTGTCGCCACCTACTGGTGTAACGCTGTAATTGATGGAATAAATGTTAATTGCTGCAGTCTATTAAACATTTTTTAATCGGGGTGAGTGAATGATTCAATCGCTCACTCATTTCAATACTGGATGAATCAGTGTTTTTGAACGAATCTCTTTAATGAATGATTCACTGACATACATTTTTAACAGTCATGTGTCGCCACCTACTGGTGTAACGATGTAATGATACAATCGTTATTTGAAGTGTTGAGTTACTTTCAAAAAGTAATTTTGATCTCTACTGTAGACATCAGTGTTTATATCTGAACTGTAAACTTATATCCCAGTTCTTCTGTGATCATTTAAATCATTGTGACATAGAAATAAGGAATCTGTGTGGTTGAATTAAACGTGCAGCTCTACTAGCCTCTTTCGGCTGTATCGAAGGGAAGTGTGTGTTCTTCATCTTCACCATCCTCTCTTTCAGGGAACTGGACCCTGGTCTACAAGAAGCCGTTTCCACACTCATCTGGGCGGCTCCTCGACTGCAGTCGGAAGTGGCGGAGCTGAAGATTGTGGGTAGAAAGTGTGTCCGTCTTAAATCTATTTCTGGAGATCGAGTATGAATCATTCATGTCTTTTTTTCTCTTTTTCACAGGTTTCAGATCAGCTGTGTGCCAAATACAGCAAAGAGTATGGAAAGCTATGTAGGACAAACCAGATTGGAACAGTTAACGATAGGGTATGATGAAACACGTTTTAAAAGAAGCTCTTTTAAATCATTTGGTGAAAATCCAGCTTTTAATGTTGTTTATATGTCTATACTAAATGAGGCGAGGGTGTCGAGATACATTCAAGTGTTTTTGGTGGTTAAAGATGACTTTTAAGGGATACAATTATTTACACATGGTTTGTCTTAAAGGAGTTGTTCACTTTTGAAAAAACTTTTGCTGATAATTTACTCACCCCCATGATGTCATCCAAGATGTCCATGTCTTTCTTTCTTCAGTCGTAAAGAAATTAAGGTTTTTGATCAAAACATTCCAGGATTTTCTCCATATAATGGACTTCAATGGGAACCAAACGGTTCAAGGTCCAAAAGACAGTTTCAGTGCAAACTCTTCAAACGATTCCAGACGATGAATAAGGGTCTTATCAAGCGAAACGATCGCTCATTTAATAAATAAATAAATAACAAAGTTTAAGTTTTATAAGCTCAAATGCTCGCCTTGCTCTGTTCTGTGTGACTCTACTGTTCGAACTCAATCAAAATGAACAAATCTTTTTCCGACTCAATTCATTAATTTCGTTCGTCGAATGAACCAAATGACACGAAAAAAGATTCGTTCGTTTTGATAAACGAGCATTTGAGCTTATAAAACTTAAACTTTGTTATTTATTTATTAATTAAATGAGCGATCGTTTCGCTTGATAAGACCCTTATTCATCGTCTGGAATCGTTTGAACAGTTTGCACTGAAACTGTCTTTTGGACCTTGAAGCGTTTGGTTCCCATTGAAGTCCATTATATGGAGAAAAATCCTGGAATGTTTTCATCAAAAACCTTAATTTCTTTTCGACCGAAGAAAGACAGACATGGACATCTTGGATGACATGGGGGTGAGTAAATAAATTATCAGCAAAAGTTTTTTTTTAAAGTGAACTACTCCTTTAAAGCATATTAAAACACCACACGGACATATAAACAACATTAAAAGCTTGATTTTCACCACAGAGGGACTTTAAATTAGTTCAAATTCCAGCCTTAACCAGTCAGAAACACGACTTTTACTCGGCCGACGGAAATCTTAAATTGTTGTTGTATGTTCTTTCTGCAGCTCATGCACAAACTGAGCGTGGAAGCCCCTCCCAAGATCCTGGTGGAGCGTTACCTCATTGAGATCGCCAAAAACTACAACGTCCCCTATGAACCGGATGCCATGGTTCGGGTAGGGATCGATCTCCTCTTCCTTGTGTGTAGGTCACCTCTATAAGCAGCACTTATTTCTGACGTTCTGCATGTGTGTAACATTCACAGCCAGAGGTGTGCCCGGGGGAAGAGGCCGATCTGATCGATGTGAACAGTGACTTCAGAAAGCCAGGAGGAGGCGCTGGAGGAGGAGGAGGAGGAGGAGGGTTTACTGCTCCTGCTGTTGGCATGCCCATGCCCATGCCGATGCCAATGCCCACAGCGTTCAACTACCCAACGCCCAAAGGAGCTGTAAGACACACATCTAACTGGCTAATAGAGCTGCGTGATTCATCACCCGCTAATCCCCCGTGATTTGCACACACTGACCTGTCGGCGAGCTCAACCATTTGCAAATCGGGCTTAATATCATGTAGTGTGAGCTAGGCTTTAGGAATAAGGAATAAGATCCCGTTTGTGTTTGAATCGAGATGGGTCTTTTAATGATTAATCGTGCAGCTCTACTTGATCAATCGAAGTCTGTTAAGATCTGAATCTGTCCCACATCATTCCCCCTCCAGGAGGCTTTTAATGGTCCCGTTGGCACCTATGATGGCTTTAGCAACTTCCAGGCTCCAGCGAGAGGAGGGCTGCCTCCACAACTGCCCAGCTGCCCCCCCACCTATGAGTCTGTAAGTTCAAGCGATCAGACAGACGGAGACGACCTGTTCACCACGCAGGGAAGAGCAGTTTATTACCGTTCACATTGAAGCATTAACCCCCAGAAACTCTTTCTATTAACAACCGTACTGACGAACAGGGGCCTCATTTATAAAGTGCACTTGATCATAATCTGGATACATATAAATCAGGAATTATAAAGGCAAAAGTGTGCTTATGAATACAACTGAAGAGCATGCGTACACATGTACTGCTGTCATATATTCTAGGGATGCACCGATTATGAACATTTTGGCTGATACTGATAAATCTTTATGTTTGAAAGCCGATAACTATGGAAGCTCGTTTCTGCCACAGAGTAAAAAGGTAATTGCGGTAATTTTTTTTTTTAATCTAAAAATTGCGTTGTATAAAGTCTCAATTATGTTATAAAGTCAGAATTGTGAGATAAAAACTTTCAATTGTGAGATAAAAACTTTCAATTGTGAGATAAACACTCAATTGTGAGATTAAAAACTCAGTGAATTGTGAGATAAAAACACTCAAATGTGAGGTAAAATCTTTCGATTGTGAGATCAAAACACAATTGTGAGGAAAAAAACAGCTGTGAGATAAAAAACTCTCAATTGTGAGATATAAACACTCAATTGTGACAACTTTCAATTTTGAGATAAAAACTCAGTGAATTGTGAGACAAACTCGCAACTGTGAGACAAAAACACTCAATTTTGAGATAAAAACTCAGTGAATTGTGAGATAAAAACTCAATTGTGAGATTAAAAACACCCAATTGTGAGATATAAACACTCATTTGTGAGATAAAAACACTCAATTGTGAAATAAAAAAACTCAATTGTGAGATAAAAACTCAATTGTGAGATATAAAACACTCAATTGTGAGATAAAACTTTCAATTGTGAGATAAAAACTTTCAATTGTGAGATAAAAACACTCAATTGTGAGATCAGAAAACTCAATTGTGAGATAAAATCTTTAAATTGTGAGATAAAAACACTCAATTGTGAGATAAAAACTCAATTGTGAGATAAAAACAATCAGTTATGAGATAAAAACTTTAAATTGGGAGATATAAACTCAATTGTGAGATAAAAAACTCAATTGTGAGATAAAACACTCAATTGTGAGAAACTCAATTGTGAGATAAAAACACTCAACTGTGAGACAAAAACACTCAATTGTGAGATGAAAAAGTGGCAATTATCTTTTAAAATGTTTTATTCTGTGGATGATATATTGGCTGATAAATCTAAAT